ATGTAAGGTAAAGAGAATTAATTTGTGATTAATGAATAAGTCAAAAGGTTAAAGGTAACACACTGTTTGATTTACTAATAGTCTTTTATTCTGTATGTTGTAGCTCTTACGGTGTGTTCACATACACGGCTGTTTAATAAAAGGATTGTGAACCATCAGTTTGAGAGACCATCTTTTCAACCGGGGATGCTACACTCCCATCTCCTTTTTCCTATTTTATTTTTTTGTCAAGCACCTTGGTATACCCTTGGTTTTTTAGTGTGCTTTATAAATAAAGTTTATTATTATTATTATTACTGTACGTGAGTACTTGACCTGGGTATTTTCTTCTCAAAGGCACGTTACACTCCACCGCAGCTCGGAAAGAAATGCTGCTTCCTTTACTGCACTGCATTAATCTGACGGCAGAGAGCCGCTGAACTGAGCGAACTGAGGCCAAAAGTCAGCGCGCTCAGGTTCGTTCTGCCTCTGGTACCCGCATGGTGTCAGATTTGGCTTCATTTTAATCTGGCTAAGACTTCGAGGTGCACATTAAAGCCAGACTGGGTGGAGAACTGGTATTTATAATCACAGCTGGACTGAATATGGGCACGTGTGGTGGATCGAAATGGGGTAAGATGCAGAACTTCAGCACCAGGAGGAGGAGGAAGGTGTAACTGGGCAGTAAATATATACATTTAAAATTAATTCATATAACAACTGCAATAAATACTGTGAACTGGGAACTTTTAGTAATTTAAGTAGATTTTACAGAGGATGTCTCACTTCATGTATGTTATATATGTTAAGTTCTGGGGCGCAAACTAGCTTTTTAACTGTAATTACATTTTTTTTTTAAGTAAATTCATATTTAAGGCAAAGAGTTTGTTTAACAAAACTGTCGTCTTGGAATTGTAGTTTCATACAAAAGTTTTCTTACTGTCTGGATGGCGTGCCACAGTCCTACATCCTTCTTGAAGTCTAGTACATTCACAATGGTCTCAGCTGAGAAACAGAAACAGAGTCAAACTTCAACATCTGAGCGTCAGAGAGAAACAGCCGACCGTAGCAGCACAGCAGCGCTGTTCAGAGGTTTAATCAACAAGAGTAAATGTGTGTACTACCTTCTGTGTATGAGCAGGACTGTGTGATGGCCTGGCAGTGCGTGAGCATCGCTATCCTCATCACCGTCACTCCGAGGACGCTGCCGTCCTTACACGTCTTATACTGGACAGACAGAAACAGAAGCAGAGTGACGAGGCGGTTTGTTCCCGCGTGCGTGACGATCGTCGATACAGAAAAATTCCACGTGTGCTTCTTCCAAGCACGAACGAGAGCCAAAGTGGAAGCGCCAAAAACTGCAGTTCCTCGAACGACCGCTTCCCCCACAGACTTTTTTCTCCATCTTTTATTTACAGACTGTGTTTACTTAAAGTATTTAGGAGACCCAGAACATCCACGTCCATGTTTCAGTTTTTTAGTGGAGTCGGAGTCAAATTAGTGTCTGCAGCTCAGTCAATAAGCAATTTTTAAAAATATTGATTGTTCAATTTAAGGCTTTTTTTTTTTTTACACTAACTTCCCAAAAACCTAAATGATGTCTGAGTGCTGTGCAGTGACAGTAATCAGTGAGAATCTGCACAAAATAGATCTCATCTGTCTGAGAAGTCTGACATCAGTCGGACAAACGCACATTATGAGTCGCTTTTAAAGCGATGAATCATTTTGAGTCGTAACATTTTTCTTTTTTAATGTTATGCGCGCGTCACTGAAAAACTAACATTTCTTTTTAAGCCACTATAAAGTGCACCGCAGTACTTTCGTCCATCTCGAC